AATCTGAATCTGCATTGGCATGGTGAACCCTACACGCTCCACACTAGTGACTCTCTCAGATGCCTCCCCACCCAGCTCATGCACCACTGGAGGTACTTTCGGTGGCTGAGCCTTACGGGTAGCCAGCAGATGATCTAGGGCCTTGGGTTGCCCTGAGTCTTTTGCTGAACTGCCCCAAGCCCAGCTGGCCTCAGTTAGAATGGCCTCTCTCATGTGCCTCCAGGTCCAGCACAAGCAGTGACCAACCACAGATAGCTTTGTAACTCCTACCAGGTAGCCATGGTCCAGTCAGAGGCAGTGGCTGACCTTAGTCTACACAGGAGCCCCTCCCAAGAGGCCCCAGAACCAACATACCTGGAGGTCGGCTTCAGAACACAACAGAGAGCTACCCTGATTAGCCCTCCCAAGCAGCATACCCAAAAGGTGGTCTCAACAGGCACACAAGTCCACTGAAGCAAATCCCACTCCGTAGAGTCAGCCCCACACAGCAGTTCATTCGCTGTGGGTGTGGCCAATCCTCATAGCCAGTCAGCCTAAGAGTTAATTCCACTCATTGACATGCCAATAGCAATCAAGGCTCAATTACAACAAGAGGACACACACAACCCACACAAGGGACAAGCAACCTACCATTGGTTTAAGGATGCTCAATGAACTTAAGGGGAAAATAGATGATCTCAGTGAGAACTTCAACAATGAGATGGTAAGCATAAAAAAGGACATAGAAAACATAAAAAAAGAAGCCATCAGAAATGAAGAATTACTACACTAGAAGGAATCAACTGCAGGTTAGATGAAGCAGAGGATAGAATCAGTAAATTAGAAGATATGACAAGACACCCAATTGGAACAGCAAAAAGAAAAAAGAATTTTTAAAAATGAGGATAGTTTAAGAGACCTCTTGGACAACATCAAGCGTAACAACATTCGCATCACAGAGGTACCAGAAAGAGAAGTGAGAAAGCAAGGGATTGAGAATGTATTTGAAGAAATAATGACTGAAAATTTCCCTAACCTAGTGAAGGAAATAGACATACAAGTCCAGGAAGCGCAGAGTCACAAACAAGATGAACCCAAACAGATCTACACCAAGACACATCATAATTAAAATGCCAAAGGTTAAAGACAAAAAGAGAATCTTAAAAGCAGCAAGAGAAAGCAACTAGTTACTTACAAGAAAGCTACCATAAGACTGTCCGTTGATTTCTCAACAGAAACTTTGCAGGCCAGAAGGGACTGACACAAAATATTCAAAGTGATGAAAAGCAAAGACCTACAACCAAGACTACTCCACCCGGCAAGGCTATCAATTAAAATCAAAGGTGCGATAAAGAGCTTACCAGACCAAAAAACAGCTAAATTCATCACCACCGAGCCAGTATTACAAGAAATGTTAAAGGGACTTTTTTAAGAAGAAGAAAGGGGAGAAGAATATAAATATGAATAATAAAATGGCAATAACTATGTACCTATCAATAATCACTTTAAGTGCACGAGATTAAATGCTCCAATCAAAAAACATAGGGATGGATAAGAAAACAAGACCCATACATATGCTGTCTACAAGAGACCCACTTCAGATTGAAAGACACACACAGACTGAAAGTAAGGGGATGGAAAAGATATTTCATGCAAATGGAAATGGAAAAAAGCTGAGGTAGCAATACTTACATCAGATAAAATTGACTTTAAAACAAAGGCTATAATAAGAGACTAAGAGGGACATTACATGATCATAAAGGGATCATTCCAACAAGAGGATATAACCCTAGTAAACATTTATGCACCCAACGTGGGAGCACCTAAATATATAAAGCAAATACTGATTGACATAAAAGGAGAGGTCAACAGTAGTAAAGTCATAGTAGGGAACTTTAATACTCCCGTTGAAACCAATGTACAGATCTCCCAGACAAAAAATCAACAAGGAAACAGCACCCTTACATGACACACTAGACCAGATGGATTTAATTGATATTTTTAGAGCATTTCACTCCTAAGCAGCAAATATACATTGTTCTCAAGTGCATATGAAACATTTTCCAAGAAAGGCCACATGTTAGGCCACAAAACATGTCTCAATAAATTTTAGAAGACTGAAATAATATCAAACATTTTCTCTGACCACAATGGTATGAAACTAGAAATCAACTACAAGGAAAAAATTGAAAAACACACGAACACATGGAGGCTAAATAACATCCTACTAAACAATAAATGGGTTAACAATGAGATCAAGAAAAAAAATCAAAAGATACTTTGAGACAAATGAAAATGAAAACAAAATGATGCAAAATTTATGGGACAAAGCAAAAGCGGTCTTAAGAGGGAAATTCATAGCAATGCAGACCTACCTTAAGAAACAAGAAAAATCTCAAATAAACAGTCTAACTTTACACTTAAAGGAACTAGGAAAGGAACAACAAACAAAGCCCAGAGTGAGTAGAAGAAAGGAAATAATAAAGATCAGAGAAGAAACAAATGAAACAGAGCCTAGAAAACCAATACAAAAGATCAATGAAACCTATAGCTGATTCTTTGAAAAGATAAACAAAATTGGTAAACCTTTAACTAGACTCATCATGGAAAAAAAAAGAGGACCCAAATAAATAAAATCTGGAATAAAAGAGGAGTGGTGACAACTGACACCACAGAAATACAAAGGATTATAAGAAAATACCACGAGCAATTATATGTCAACAAACTGCACAATCTGCAAGAAATGGATATATTCCTAGAAACATACAATCTTCTTAGACTGACTCAAAAAGAAACAGTAAATCTAAACCAACCAATTACAACTAACAAAATCAAATCAGTAGTCAAAAAACTTCCAGCAAACAAGAGTCCTGGACCAGATGGCATCACAGGTGAATTTTACCAAAAATCCAAAGAAGACTAGGTGTATATTCTTCTCAAACTATTCCAAAAATTTAAAGAGGCAGGAAGGCTCCCCAGCTCATTTTATGAGGCCACCATTACTCTGATTCCTAAACCAGACAGGGACATTACAAAAAAAAAGAAAATTATAGGCCATAATATCCCTGATGACCATAAATGCAAAATTCTCAACAAAATATTAGCAAACCAAACTCAGCAATACATTAAAAAAGATCATACACCATGATCAAGTTGGATTTATTCCTGGGATGCAAGGATAGTTCAATATCCACAAATCAATTAATGTGATACACCACATAAACAAAAGATAAAAATCATATGATTATATCAATAGATGCAGAAAAAGCGTTTAACAAAATCCAGCATCCATTTATGATTAAAAACTCTTAGCAAAGTGAGAATAGAGGGAACATATCTTAACATAATAAAGCCCGTATATGACAAACCCACAACTAACATCATATTCAATGAGGAAAAGATAAAAGCATTTTCCATAAGATCAAGAACAAGAGAAGGATGTCCACTTTCACCACTTTTATTCAACATAATTTTGGAAGTCCTCGCCACAGCAGTCAGAAAGAAAAGAAGGAAGGAAGGAAGGAAGGAAGGAAGGAAGGAAGGAAGGAAGGAGGAAGGAAGGAAGGAAAGAAGGAAAGAAGAAAGAAAGAAGGAAAGAAGGAAAGAAAGAAGAAAGGGCATCCAAATTGGAAAGGAAGAAGTAAAACAGTCCTTATTTGTAGATGACATGATACTATCTACAGCGAACCCTAAAGATTCCAGCAAAAAACTAGAACTGATAAATGAATTCAGTAAAGTAGCAGATACAAAATTAGTATTCAGAAATGTGTTGTATTTTTATATACCAATAATGAACTACCAGAAAGAGAAATTTAAAAAACAATCCCATTTACAATTGCATCAAAAACAATAAAATACCTAGGAATAAATTGAACCAAGGAGCTAAAAGACCTCAGAAAATTATAAGTCACTGAAAAAATAAATGGAAGCACATACAAATAAATGGAAGCATATACTGTGTTCATGAATAGGAAGAATTAACATCATTAAAATGGCCCTACTACCCAAAGCAATTTGCAGATTCAGCACAATCCCTACCAAAATACCAATGGCATTTTTCGCAGAACTAGAACAAATAATCCTAAAATTTATATGGAACCATAAAAGACCTCGAACAGCCATGGCATTCTAGAGAAAGAACAAAGTTGGAGGTATCACACTACCTGATATCAAACTGTACTATAAGGCTATAGTAGTCATACACATTCTGTTGTCATGTCTTGTTAGTCTCCTTTAAACTGGAAGAGTACCTCTGCCTGTCATTGTCTTTCATGATACTTACAGCTCTTTTGCAGTGTCCCTCGATTTTGGTTTATTTCATGCTTTCTCATGAGATTCAGGTTATGCATTTTGGACATAAGTACCACAGAAGAGAGGTGGTATCCTTCTTGGTGCATCTTATTAGGAGGCACGTGATCTCTACTTGACCTATAACTGCTGATATTAACATAACACTTTGATTCACTCCTTCTGTGAGGTTACACTGCTGTAAAATTATGATTTTCCCTTTGTAATCAATAAGTAACTTATGGGAGACAATTTTACTATGTAAATATCCCATTCCTCCAGTTTTACCATTTGTTATTGATTTTCTAACTCGGGTTTAAGGAAATTGGCATTCTACTAAAAGGAAGAATTTTCTCTTTACTCTTATTTATTTATCCACATGATTTATATCAGTAAAGACTCACAGGTTACCATTTTATCCAGATAGTCTTACTCTGTTACTATCAATACCTATTCTGACGCTCAAATTGCCCCAATTCGGCTAGTGGAATCTCCTTCGAGTTAGCCTCGTGTCCTTTGACAGAGTCCCATGATTGGGATTCCCATCATCCTTACATTCTGGTGCAACAAGATGTTCCAAGCTTATCTGGAAGTTTCTCTGCCCTGACCCAGGCGCTTTGAAAAGCTGCCAACCAGCCTCTATGTTCACCTCCACTTCCTACCTCCAGGCGGAACCTTAGAGTCTCCTGCGTGGGCCGGGAGAACAGCACAAAGGACCAACCTTTTCCGGTTGCGGCCGGAAGTCTCTCGGAGAGAGGAGGTTCTGTGTCAGGTGACCCGAGTCCGCGTAGAAGGGGTCCGAGGTCCGGCCCAACCGACTTGAGTAAGCTGACAGACTCGCGAAGCCCACGGCTGACGGAGGCCTTGGTGGCGTTAGCTGAGCAGCGGCAGGTACTTGGGCTGAGGGGAAGGGGAGCGCTAGGGGCCATCGAGACTGAGGGACGCGGGCGGAGGACAGGGTTCCGCCTTCTCCGGCCCCCGGGCCGCGACACCTGAGCTCAGGGGACAAACCTGGCACTGCCTAGGGCCTTCCATTCCAAAAGAGAGGTCGACTGGTGTTGTGATCTTTCGTCCCGTAATTATAGTTTCGGGAAACTGAGGCTCCCCACGAGTTCTCCTTTCCAGGCAGGGACTCACTTTAACTCTGTCTTCCGCTCGCGGCCGCCTCTCTCATGTAGATGTGCTTTTAATGAGTTTGCCCCGAGTGGAGAAGCCGGCGGGGCCGGGAAGCGTGGTGAACAGAGATGGGCTTGGGAGGAGAGAGACCCGTTTTCGAGACTTCGCCGCCAATAGCCAATTGTGCGTTCTGGGCCAAATCCCTTCCCTGTGCTGGGCCTCAATATCATCATTTGTAAAACAGGGCAATGTTTCTCAAAATACTTTTCTTCTCCCATCCGCTTTGAACTGCCCTGTGGGTGCATGCTTTACCTTGGGGGACGCAAGACCTCTTATTTTGAATCTGGGTCGCAATATGAGAAACTGCGTTTTGAACAGACGCCTGGGGGGCGGGGTGGGGGGGGACAGGGCGGTCCTGTACTTGCTGATGTTTGAAGCTCACTGATGTTAAGTGCTTTCCTGCCGTGAGTACTAGATACCCGTTCTTTGCTTTGAGGCAGCTGGAGCCTCTTCAGGATCTTTGAAAGAACTGGTCTTTATCCCAGAAAGGAGAAAATGGAAGGAAACTGTCTCTAAAACCTGAAAAAAAAATAGTTATGGTGAAGAGGGCTTCTATGTCATCTTTGCGGTCGAAAGAGGCTGAACTGAGACCAATAGGTGGATTCTACAGGAAGATTTTGACTTAATAGAACTTAATGCTAGTCATAGGTGACCAGCAGTGGAATGGATTGCCTCCAAAGGTAATGAACTCCCTGTTGAAGGAGGTGTACAAGTATTAGATGACAGTCCTTTCCAACTTCAAAGTGTCTGATTTTGAGTAGTTATTTTGAATCTTTTTGACTGACTGACTTTTTTTGTCTGCTCTCTTTTCCTGACACCTCCATCCCCCCAGCCTACATCTTCTGGAAGTAAGGCCAGTGGGTCTGAATGTGATACATCTTATATAATATCTCTCCCTGGTTGTCCTGTGAACCATCCTTTTCAAGGACTTTGGAATGGCCCATCTGATGAGGGCTCCTTAAAATGTTTGTTGAGTGAATAACCAAGCAAGGTCCCCACCCCATTGGTTTTTAGTTTATTTTCTTAGAACAACTTGGAAATGCCTCTAAAGAGTTTGTTTGATCAAGAGAAGCCAGTTAACTCTTTGGATCACACAATTGAGTCTCAGACCGATCCCTTGAGGTTGTTTAGGCCAGCCGTTCCTCCCTGAGACATAAATCTCTATCCTTTCTCCAGCAGTGTGTTGTATAGATGTTTTGTCTGCCAAGATAATTTTGCAGTCTGTTGACTAACATTCCAGCCAGCATTTAAAATCAGTCCGTTTTGTGGACTCAACATACCAGTTCATCCTCACTTAGGGATAATCTTCAGATAATGCTTCTAGTGTATCTTTAGTTTTCTAATCAAATATCAAAGCTCTTTATTTTGTGATTAACTCCAAGATCACTTTTTGAAAACCTGTTAGAATGCTTATGTTGCCCTTTGGAGCTAAGATTCCATATTATGATCCAATACTGTTCACATGCTTCCTGCCCCGCAAAAGGTTGAGTGAGTTTCAGCCAAGACTTTCTATCTGTGTTTATCTTCTTGCCTTGTTTGTTTTTCCTAGTATTAAAAAAAAAGAAAAAAAAAGTTGTGAAATGCTTATTCAGATATCATCCAGGTTCTGGGTAAAATAATTTTAATTTGGTGGTGTTTTTAAAACTTCTCAATCTGAAAATGTCTTTTTAAAAAAGTACCTGGATTGACATTTACATAGTGTGTTATTCAGGCCACTAGTCTGAAGAGATGCTTCCAAAAAAAGTGTCCTATGGTAATAAGTTTGGAAAAAGCTACATGTGCATTATTATCCCTTTTATGGAGGGATATAGTACCCTATAGTACCATAATAAAGTATATAGTACCATAATAAAGGCACTGAGATATCCTGTAATAAAGAAATATGTCTAACCTTGTTTAATCTGTTGCCAAACTTAATTGATGTGAAGCACCTCTTTTTTTTTTAATTGAAGTGTACATTGGCAAATTCTGACCTAGAGCAAAAGTCTGCAATATATGGCTTGTGGTCCAAATCTGGCCCCACTGCCTGTTTTTGCATGGCCTGTGAGCTAGGAATGTTTTTTACATTTTTAAGTGATAGGGAATAAAGCAAGAGAAAATAATATTTTATGATTTATGAAAATTATAGGAAAATCAAATTCATGTCCATAAATAAAGTTTTATTGGAACACGGCCATACTTGTTTATTTGCATATTGTCTTTGGCAACAGACTTAAGTCATTGCCCCAGAGACCATATAGTCTACAGAGTCTAAAGTTTTTACTGTATGATGCTTTACAGAAAAAACCTGCCAGCCCCTAACCTGTATCACATACATTTTTTAAACTTTCTATTTTGAAATAATTATAGACTTGCAAAAAGAATACACAGACTTCCTATATACTCTTTACCCAGCTTTCTCTAATGTTCACATTTTACGCAGTCATATTAAAATTATCTAAAGAATAAATTTAACATTAATACAACACTAACTAATCTACAGACTTTATTCAAATTTTGCCACCTGTCCTACTAATGTTCCTTTTCTGCTCCAGGATCCAATTCAGTTTCCTACACTGTATTTAGTTGTCAAGTCTCTTTAGTACCTTTCAGTCTGAGACTGTTCATAAGTCTTTTTAAAAATTTTTTTGTCTTTCATGACTATAAACTTTTGAAAAGGATTGGCCAATTATTTTGTAGACTGTCTCAAATTTTTTTTGAGCTGGAATTCACCTATCATAAAATTCATCATTTTAAAGCGTACAATTCAGTGGTTTTTAATATGTTCATAAGGTTGTGCAACCATCACTACTATCTTAATTCCAGATCATTTTTATCACCCCAGGAAGAGACCCTGTACACATTAGCAATCACTCCCTATTCTTTCTTCTTGCCATCCCCTGCAACCATTAATCTAGAACCATATAGTATGTGGCCTTTTGTGTGGTTTCTTTAAGCATGTTTTCAAGATTCATCCATGTTGTAGCATATATCAGTACTTCATTCCTTTTTACGGCTAAATAATATTTCATTGTGTGACTACACCACATTTCATTTATCCATTTATCATTTGATGGACATTTGGGTTGTTTCCATCTTTTGGTGACTGAGAATAGTGCTCCTATGGTTATTCATGTACAAATTTTTGTTTGAACATATTTTCAGTTTTCTTGGATGTGTATATCTAGGAGTAGAATTGCTGGGTCATATGGCAACTCTGTGTTTAACTTTTTGAGGAACCACCAAGCTGTTTTCCACAGCAGCTGCACCAATCTACATCTCCATTAGCAATATAGGAGGGTTCCATTTTCTCCATGTCCTCTTCAACACTTGTTATTGTCCTTTTTTAAAATTATATATCCACCCCAGTGGATGTGAAGCAGCATCTCATTGTAGTTTTTATTGCATTTTCCTAATGACTGATGCTATTGAACATCTTTTTCGTGTGCATATTGGCCATCTGTATATCTTCTTTGGAGAAATGTCTGTTCAGATCCATTGCCCATTTTGTAATTGAATTGTTTGTCATCATGTATAATCTTGCATGTAAATATTCAAAGAGTTTGCAGATCCCCTGATCTTAATGGAGTTGGATTTGGACATGCTGAAGTGCAGAGTAAGTTGTCTATTTGAAACCGCTGACCATACAGAGCTTGGCTCATCCCCAAGTACTGCTGACCATGCAGAGCTGGGGTGGCCGTGGTCAAGTGAAAAAGGTACCACAGCATCATCCAAGATGTGACAAGACCAATAGGGGATCCTGCTGTTTGGGAGCTACTCTAGTGTTTGGTCAGAGCACAGAGTAGAAGAGTAGGTGATGGCTTGGGACATGCGGGACTGGTGATAGCCTTGGGCAGCTGCTTGTGGTGGCAGAGCTATCAGTGCACCCACGCCTCTTTTGATCTCAGCATTTAGCTATATAACCAGACCGTCTTGAACATATACTTTAAAAAAATAATAATAATAATAAGCTAATTTTAACTCTGAAAGCAGTGTTCATTTTAGACATTCTGGAAAATACAGAAAAGCTCCCCTCTCCTCCCACTCCAGTCATCTCTACTTCCAGTATCTAAAGAGAGCCTTTATTATAGTTGCTTTTTTTTCTTCTTGTTTCTTCCCCACTGGGTACATTTTTAATAGTTGAAATCATTCACTGTTCATAGTTCTATAGCTTGCTTTTTTCTTTTAACAGTTTGATGTTAATGTCTCCATGTTTTTGCCAGCCTCTTCTGTAAGCATGATTTCTAATACTTTTACTTAACCATTCACTTATTCAGTAAGTCTTATTGTAGATATAATGTTTATAACAAGTACTCAACATGGTCTTAGTGGGTGTAAATCTAGTTTTTCTTTTTTAATAGGAACATTTTAAAATATTATGTGGTAAAATATACATAACAATTTACCATTTAACTGTTTTTAAGTGTACAGTTCAGTGGCACTAAGTACACTCACAGTGTTGTGAACCATCACCACTATTCTGTTTTCAAAAATTTTTCAGCACCGCAAATATAAACTCTGTCCTCATTAAGAAATAACTCCCTGTTCTCCCCTCACCCTAGTTCCTGCTAACCTCTAATCCATTTTCTTTCTGCAAATTTGCCTATTATAGATATTTCCTATAATGAAATCATACAATAACCTTTGTGGAATGGCCTTTTGTGAAAATGTAGGGATTTTTTTCCCCCCAATATTGTGGTAAAATATACATAGCATAAAATTTACCGTTTTAACCA